CTAATATTTTCTACTTCTTCATCCTCCTCCTCCTTCTACTTACTATTTACTACTACTTCTCTCTCCTTCTTCTTCTTTTTTTCTTTTTTTTTGTTTCCCTTTCTTGCAGGTCACTGCTCATGCGAGATTTTTTTTTGGTAAAAAATGGGCCCGATTTGCCCATTATTGCCGGAAAATCGGCCGATTTTTTTTTTCCAACTTGCCAAAATACCGAAAAACGGCCAAATAGCCCACTAACGATACCGAAAATTGGCCCGACTTTTCGGACCCATCTATGGCCTTCATTATTTCTTCTTGATTTATGAGGATTTAAGGTGTGCATGACTAAAACACTTACAATACTCGTTTGTTGCTGCTCTCACACCACTTCTAGCCAACCTAGGCAACCAAACCACATTTCCTTTCATCTACTTCCTTTACCATTTTCTTTATACTTCATCTTCATCGCACATTCTTTTATAACTTCCCCCCCCCCCACCCTTAATCAGCGAGGACTCACAACAGGTATATCACTTTTTGATACAGCGAGTCGCCTCTAGCTCATATTATTCTCTCAAACCACAGTGCTCGGTCATTACCAAATATTCTCAACGACTTTTTGGGAGGGGATCCTCTGGCCCGTTCCAACATCATTTTCCCCACCTCTTTCTTTTTTTTTTTTTTCTCCATCTTTTCTCCATACTAGCTTCCTTCTCAACTTTCTTCTCCTTCTGAATAGATCTACCTATCTTCTCTGCTCCTTCTTCTGATTGATTATCTCCTCTCCATTACGCTTCTCTCCTACTTCAACATTCACGTCTTACGCATGACAACTGACATACTCTAAGCACCCCAGTTCCCATTCAAAGTTCAGTGGTATGTCCTGACCTTCTTATCTTTGGAAGTATATATCATAGCTTACCATTACACATCCCCTACACTCTATACTGACTTACAATGCCTCCCATCTTTTGTCTCATCTGCCTTCAGAGTTTCTGTTCAGAGGTTCTAACTGCTGACATATCGTGAATCTTTCTGATCAGTTTTCTATGCAAAAATATTGTATTGCTCATATTGGTCAATCTATCAGTACTGTTTACAAAAGTTACTTTGTTGCCAGGAAGCATCCTTGGAGTGTTTCATCCGCTGAGTTTATGTGAATTGAAAAACTCAAAGCTTTGTTTAAAAAAAAAGGAGCACATATTGGAAATTGTAATCGAGGTTAACCCCTCACCTGCCGGGCATTTTTACCCCCCTTCCTGCCCAGGCCAATTTTCAGCTTTCAGCGCTGTCACACTTTTTAAATGGCAATTGCGCCGTCATGCAACACTGTACCCATATGACGTTTTTTTTTTTCTTTTTCTTTTACCACACAGAGCTTTCTTTTGGTGGTATTTAATCACCACTGGGCTATTTATTTTTTTCACTGTAAATGAAAAAAGAGCAAAAAAAGGGACATGCTTCTCACTGACCCCCAATGTAAGGGACATTCTTCCCACTGAACCCCCCAATGTAAGGGGACATTCTTCCCACTGACCCCCAATGTAAGGGGCCATTCTTCCCACTGACCCCCCAATGTAAGGGACATTCTTCCCACTGACCCCCAAATGTAAGGGGCATTCTTCCCCACTGACCCCCATGTAAGGGGACATTCTTCCCACTGACCCCCAAATGTAAGGGACATTCCTCCCCACTAACCGCCAATGTAAGGGACATTCCTCCCACTAAAACCGCCATTTGTAAGGGACATTCTTCCCACTGACCCCCAATGTAAGGGCATTCTTCCCACTGATCACCAATGTAAGGGGACATTCTTCATACTGACCCCCAATGTAAGGGACATTTCCCACTCCCATGTAGGGGCACCCCCACTGACCTCCAAATGTATGTAAGGGGCATTCTACCGCCAACTGACCTTCCCACCCACAATGTAAGGGGACATTTCACTGACCTCCAATGTAAGGGGCATTCTTCCCACTGACCCCCAATGTAAGGGGCATTCTTCCACTGACCCGCCAATGTAAGGGACATTCTTCCCACTGACCCCCCTATGTAAGGGACATTCTTTCCCACTGATCACCCAATGTAAGGGACATTCTTCCTACTGACCCCAATGTAAGGGCATTCCTTCCCACTGACCCCCCCAATGTAAGGGGACATTCTTCCCACTGACCCCCAATGTAAGGGACATTCTTCCACTGACCCCCAATGTAAGGGGGCATTCTTCCACTGACCCCCAATGTAAGGGACATTCCTCCCACTGACCCCCAATGTAAGGGACAATTCTCCCACTGACCCCCAAATGTAAGGACATTCCTCTCACTGACCCCCAATGTAAGGGACATTCTTCCCACTGACCCCCAATGTAAGGGACATTCTTCCCACTGACCCCCAATGTAAGGATATTCTTCCCACTGACCCCAAGTGTAAGGATATTCTTCCCACTGACCCCCAATGTAAGGATAATTCTTCCCACTGACCCCCAATGTAAGGGACATTCTTCCCAACTGACCCCCAATGTAATGGATCATTCTTCCCACTGACCCCAATGTAAGGATATTCTTCCCACTGACCCCCAATGTAAGGATATTCTTCCCACTGACCCCCCAATGTAAGGGACATTCTTCCCACTGACCCCCAATGTAAGGAACATTCCTCCCACTGACCCCCTTAATGTAAGGGACATTCTTCCCACTGGACCCCCAATGTAAGGATATTCTTCCCACTGACCCCAATGTAAAGGACACTTCCTCCCACTGACCCCCAATGTAAGGGACATTCTTCCCACTGACCCCAAGTGTAAGGGACCTTCCCCCTGAACCCCAGCCATGACCTCCCAAGGGAACATTCTTCCCACTGACCCCCAATGTAAGGAACATTCTTCCCACTGACCCCCCAATGTAAGGGACATTCCTCCCACTGACCCCCATTGTAAGGACATTCTTCCCACTGACCCCCAATGTAAGGATATTCTTCCCACTGACCCCCAATGTAAGGGACATTCTTCCCCCACTGACCCCCCAATGTAAGGGACATTCCTTCCCACTGACCCCCAATGTAAGGTAAGGACATTCTTCCCACTGACCACCAATGTAAGGGACATTCTTCCCACTGACCCCCCAATGTAAGGGACATTCTTCCCACTGACCCTCAATGTAAGGGACATTCTTCCCACTGACCACCAATGTAAGGGACATTCTTCCCACTGACCCCCAATGTAAGGGACATTCTTCTCACTGACCACCAATGTAAGGGACATTCTTCCCACTGACCCCCAATGTAAGGGACATTCTTCCCACTGACCACCAATGTAAGGGACATTCTTCCCACTGACCACCAATGTAAGGGACATTCTTCCCACTGATCACCAATGTAAGGGACATTCTTCCCACTGACCCCCAATGTAAGGGACATTCTTCCCACTGACCCCCAATGTAAGGGACATTCTTCCCACTGACCCCCAATGTAAGGGACATTCTTCCCACTGACCCCAATGTAAGGGACATTCTTCCCACTGATCACCAATGTAAGGGACATTCTTCCCCACTGACCCCCAATGTAAGGGACATTCTTCCCACTGACCCCCAATGTAAGGGACATTCCCACTTCCCACTGACCCCCAATGTAAGGGACATTCTTCCCACTGACCCCCAATGTAAGGGACATTCTTCCCACTGACCTCCAATGTAAGGGACATTCATTCTTCCCACTGACCACCAATGTAAGGGACATTCTTCCCACTGACCACCAAGCATTGGTCTCACCGCCGCTCTGAACAGAGAGTCACCGCTGTCCACTCTGCATCTGACACCCCCCCTTCCCCCCCCCACGCTGTGGATGGGAAGAGAAATAGTTGATCCAAGTGATGCTCCAGACTCTGGGGTGGATCCCGCCTTCAAAGTCGGGATCTTTCCCCAGCCTGGACTGGCTGAATGGACTGTTGCTCGGGTGGTTGGTAGCCTCTATGATGTACAGTTGTGTTCCAAATAATAGCAGTGTGTTGAAAAAAGTGAATAAAGCTGAAAATCCTTCTAATAGCTTTTATTTCCATCCACACAAATGCATTGGGAACACGACACATTCTATTCCAAATCACAACACGAAGAAAAATACATCAAATGGAAGAAAAGTGAATATTAGACGGTTCAAAAAAAATGGCCGTGTTTGTATTCTTCTTTACAAACTCAAACATTCACTATATAAACTGAGAAATGTTTGAAGATTTTGCTTTCCTTTGAATGACTTCATGAATATTTGGTTGTAGTCGCACTGTTTCTGAGAACTGCTGTACATCTGTGTTGCATGGAGTCCCCCAACTTCTGGCCCCTGTGATCAGGTATTCCAGCCCAGGATGATTGGACCACATTCCACAGTTCTTCTCTATTTCTTGGTTTGGCCTCAGAAACGGCATTTTTTGATGTCACCCCACAAGTTTTCTATTGGATGAAGATCCGGGGATTGGGCTGGCCACTCCATAACGTCCATCTTGTTGGTCTGGAACCAAGATGTTGCACGTTTACTGGTGTGTTTGGGGTCGTTGTCTTGTTGGAACACCCATTTCAAGGGCATTTCCTCTTCAGCATAAGGCAGCATGACCTCTTCAAGTATTCTGATGGATTCAAACTGATCCATGATCCCTGGTATGCGATAAATAGGCCCAACACCGTAGTATGAGAAACATCCCCATATCATGATGCTTGCACCACCATGCTTCACGGTCTTCACAGTGTACTGTGGCTTAAATTCAGTGTTTGGGGGTCGTCTGACAAACTGTCTCCGCCCACTAGACCCAAAAAGAACAATCTTACTTCCATCAGTCCACAAAATGTTGCCCCATTTCTCTTTAGGCCGGTCAATGTGCTCTTTGGCAGATTGTAACCTCTTCAGCACACGTCTTTTTCCCAACAGTGGGACTTTGGCTTCACATCGGCGTCTTCTAATTGTAACAGTCCTCACAGGGAACCTCACACCTTCTTTCATCTTCCTGGAGCTGATTGTTGGCTGAGTCCTCACAGGGAACGTCACACTTCTTTCATCTTCCTGGAGCTGATTGTTGGCTGAGTCCGCCCCCATTTTGGCTATTCTTCTATCCATCCCAATGGTAGTTTTTCGCTTTCTTCCACGTCTTTCAGGTTTTGGTTGCCATTTTAAAGCATTTGGCATCATTTTAGCTGAGCAGCCGATCATTTTCTGCACTTCTTTATATGTTTTCCCCTCCAATCAACTTTAATCAAAGTACGCTGTTCTTCTGAACAATGTCTGGAACGACCCATTTTCCTCAGAATTTCAGAGAGAAATGCACTGTAACCATCATGTCCAACATTTGCTGCCTTCCTTCCTTAAATAAGGGCAATAATTGCCACCTGTTTATCAAAGAATGAATGGGACGTCACTAATAAACTCCACACTGCTATTATTGTGAACACGCCCCTTTCAATGAGTGATTCAATACAATGACACAGAATCAGCACATGCAAGTCATGACTGTTGGGTCTGTTGGATTTCTATGACTCTACTACACTGCTAGGAAATTATTGGCCATGTAGCGATATCATTTTGCACCAAAAACAGTGATTGGATCCGGTTAGTGATGTCTGACGGCTAGTATTTTCAACACAACAGTATACAGGAGAAGCAGTCCAAATTTGTGGAATATCTACAGATGTATTAGAAAATTGAGATTTGCATTAATCTGTGTCTTCTCTATCTGCCCGGAATCGGGATTTCATTTTAGAAGTGGATTCGGCTCCATGACCCCAATATATGTGATGCGTCGCCTTCCTCGCTCCCATCAGGCCTCCATGCGTTCTTCCTCATCGCGTTCTTCTTGCCTCCTGTAAGTCACTACAACACAAATGCTATTTTATGAATAAAGAATAATAAACCTAAAGAACGCGCAGATCAGCCGCTGGGCACATCATGATTTATTCAGCACAGCGAGGCGGGCCCGACACCGGAACCGCGGGTGACGAGTACAATGGAGCAGAATCTGCAGAGTGGCGGAAACCAGTTACTGAGAGAATAGAAAGTTCTCTTCTTTGTGTCTTTGTGACGGATGGATCGGGCGAATGCTGCGACGGCGATGACTCCAACAAGACCCCAAACAGGGGGAGGGGGGGGGCACTTCCAACATAATGACGATAAAACGACTTTTCCTCTGTGTGACTTCATCATCAGCTCTGTGTGACTCTTCACAATTCCTTATAAAATGTTTTATGTCTCTCGGAAAGAAAGAAATCAGCCAGATAAATATTTGATGAGGTTGAGGGGAGCATGTCAGGACTGATATTCACTGCCAGGAGCAACTGGAACAGCGGCTGCTGTGCCCTGACTTCTCAGAATGTGTTCAGCTTCACTGTGACTGCGTGGAAATACGACCTCTGATGGTGGAGCCGCTCCTTTCTGGCAGAAGACTATTATTATACGGGATTTATAGAGCACCAACAGCAGCGCTTTAACAACACGAGGGAAGACAGTATAGTCACAAATACGATTCACAATACGGGAGGGGTTCCGAGGGCCCGGATCCTAAGAGCTTACAATCTAAAAAGGGAGACAAAAGACAATAATTGTGGGGGATGAGCTGAGGAGAAAATAAAAAAACAGTTGTTAGGTGGAGGAAGGATAGGTTTCCCTGAAGAAAATGTTTTTCAGGGATCATCTAAAAATTGAGGAGAGAGAAGGAGACAGACAGGTTGGGGTAGGGAGTTCCAGAGGATAAGAGAGGCTCTAGAGAAGTCCTGCAGGGGAGGAGCTGATGAGGGACCATGAGAGAAAGAGGTCTTGGGAGAAGCGAGAGGCTGGTTTGGGCGATATGGTGAGATAAGGTTGGGGATGTATCTGGCGGTAATGTTGTGGATGGCTTTGAATATTGTTGTTAGCATTTTGGATTTTATTTGTTTGGTGAGCTGAAGTCAATGGAAGGATTGGCAGAGGGGGGGTGGAGGACACTGAATGAAGGCCAGTGGAGGGATTGGCAGAGAGGGAGGAGGACACTGAGTGGAGGCAAGTGGAGGGATTGGCAGAGAGGGGTGGAGGACACTGAATGAAGGTCAGTGGAGGGATTGGCAGAGAGGGGTGGAGGACACTGAATGAAGGTCAGTGGGAGGATTGGCAGAGAGGGGAGGAGGACACTGAGTGGAGGCCAGTGGAGGTATTGGCAGAGAGGGATGGAGGACACTGAATGATGAGGTCAATGGAGGATTGGAGAAGAGGAAAGGGAAGGGAGGGAGGGGGTGGAGGACACTGAGTGGAGGCCAGTGGAGGGATTGACAGAGAGGGGTGGAGGACACTGATGGAGGAGGTCAGTGGAGGGATTGGCAAGAGAGGGTGGAGGACACTGAGTGGAAGCCAGTGGAGGGATGGCAGAGAGGGGTGGAGGACCACTGAGTGGAAGCCAGTGGAGGGATTGGCAGAGAGGGGTGGAGGACACTGAGTGGCGGTCAGTGGAGGGATTGGCAGAGAGGGGACACTGAGGGAGGAGGACACTGAGTGGAGGTCAGTGGAGGGATTGGCAGAGAGATTGGGTGGAGGACACTGAGTGGAAGAGCCAGTGAGGGATTGGCAGAGAGGGGTGGAGGACACTGATGGAGGTCAGTGGAGGGATTGGCAGAGGGGGGTGGAGGACACTGAGTGGAGTCAGTGGAGGGATTGGCAGAGAGGGGGGTGGAGGACACTGAGTGGAGGTCAATGGAGGGATTGGCAGAGGGGGGTGGAGGACACTGAGTGGAGGTCAGTGGAGGGGGTGGGATTGGCAGAGGGGGGGTGGAGGGGACACTGAGTGGAGGTCAGTGGAGGGATTGGCAAGAGGGGGTGGAGGACACTGAGTGGAGGCCAGTGGAGGGATTGGCAGAGAGGGGAGGAGGACACTGAGTGGAGGCCAGTGGAGGGATTGGCAGAGAGAGGGGAGGGGACACTAGGTGGAGGACACTGATTGGTTAGTAAGGAGGATGGAGGCGTCTGGCAGCAGCAACCTTCATGATGGACTGAAAGGGGGAAAGCCTGTGTAAAGCCAATGAGGAGGGAGTTGCAGTAGCCGAGGCGGGAGATGATCGGGGAGTGAATTAGATCTTTGTGGGTCATTGGTCAGAAAAGGCGTGTCTTGGAGAGTTGAGGAGGTTGAGGCGGCAAGCTTTGGACAATGATTGGATGTGGGGCCCAAAGATACAATCAGAGTCCAAATTACTTCTAGCGCCCTGGAATAGGGGGAGGGATTGATGGTTCGTGCCATTGATCTTGACGATGAAGTCAGGGGAGGGGTAAATAATATCCGGCGCTTCGTTTTTACCTGACAAAATAAAGAGGGGAAAAGAATCAAAATGAAGGTAAAAAATAACCTATTGAATGCTCTTTCATTCTGAACACAATAAGTACAATACACGCCGACACATCGCACAATACACGCCACCACGTCGCACAATACACGCCACCACGTCGCACAATACACGCCGACACGTCGCACAATACACGCCGACACATCGCACAATACACGCCAACCACGTCGCACAATACACGCCGACACATCGCACAATACGACGCCGACACGTCGCACAATACACGCCGACACATTGCACAATACACGGCGACACGTCGCACAATCCATGCCGCAACACGTCACACAATACACGGCGCTCATGCGCCTCGACACGTTCGCACATTGCACGCCACAACACGTCGCACAATACACGCCGCCAAGTCGTACAATACACGCCGCTATGTCGCACAATTACACGCCGACACGTCGCAAAATACATGCCGCCAAGTCGTACAAGAATCAAGACACGCTGACACATTGCACAATACACGCCGCCACATCGTAAAATACACGCCACCACATCGCACAATACATGCTGACACGTCGCACAATACACGCCGACACATTGCACAATACACGCCACCACGTCGCACAATACACGCCGCCACATCGTAAAATACAATACACGCTGACCAATCGGCACGTCGCACAATACACGCCGACACATAGTACAATACACACCGACACGTCGCACAATACACGCCGACACGTCGCACAATACACGCCGACATATCGTACAATACACACGCCACCCACGTCGTACAATACACGCCACCACGATGCACAATACACGCCGACATATCATACAATACACGCTGCCACGTCGTACAATACACGCCGCCACGATGCACAATACACGCTGACACGTCGCACAATACACGCTGACACGTCGCACAATACACGCTGACACGTCATACAATACACGCCGACACGTCGCACATACACACGACCGCACAATACACGCTGACACGTCATACAATACTCACCGACACATCACACAATACACTCCACCACGTCGCACAATACACGCCGACATATCGTACAATACACGCCGCCGCCACGTCGTACAATACACGCCGACATATCGTACAATACACGCCGCCACGTCGTACAATACACGCCGACATATCGCACAATACACGCCGCCACGTCGTACAATACACGCCGACATATCGCACAATACACGCCGCCACGTCGTACAATACACGCCGACATATCGCACAATACACGCCGCCACGTCGTACAATACACGCCGACATATCGTACAATACACGCCGACACGTCGTACAATACACGCCGACATGTCGTACAATACACGCCGACATATCGTACAATACACGCCGACATATCGTACAATACACGCCGACACGTCGTACAATACACGCCGACATATCGCACAATACACGCCGACACGTCGTACAATACACGCCGACATATCGCACAATACACGCCGCCACGTCGTACAATACACGCCGCCACGATGCACAATACACGCTGACATGTCATACAATACACGCTGACACGTCATACAATACACGCCCCCACGTCGTCGCACATTCCCTTGCAAATGGCATCCCTGTTATTTATATTATCTGTGTTAATATTCTGATACAATTTCTTGTTTTGATCAGTCAGATTAGCGCATTGTTTTCTGGTCAATTAGTCGTCCTCCATGTGTTATGTCGTTTTTTTCGAAGTCGTTGTTCCGGAGTCGTTGTTCCGGAGTCGTTGTTCCGGAGTCCTTGTTCCGGAGTCGTTGTTGCGGAGTCGTTGTTTCGGTGTTGTTGTTCTGGAGTCCTTGTTCCGGAGTCGTTGTTCCGGAGTCGTTGTTCCGGAGTCGTTGTTCCGGTGTTGTTGTTCCGGAGTCCTTGTTCCGGAGTCGTTGTTCCGGAGTTGTTGTTCCGGAGTCCTTGTTCCGGAGTTGTTGTTCCGGAGTCGTTGTTGCGGAGTCGTTGTTGCGGAGTCGTTGTTGCGGAGTCCTTGTTCCGGAGTCCTTGTTCCGGAGTCGTTGTTCCAGAGTCCTTGTTCCGGTGTCGTTGTTCCAGAGTCCTTGTTCCAGAGTCGTTGTTCCGGAGTCCTTGTTCCGGAGTCATTGTTCCGGAGTCGTTGTTTCCAGAGTCCTTGTTCCGGTGTCGTTGTTCCAGAGTCGTTGTTCCGGAGTCGTCGTTGTTCCGGAGTCGTTGTTCCGGAGTCCTTGTTCCGGAGTCCTTGTTCCGGAGTCGTTGTTCCGGAGTCCTTGTTCCGGAGTTGTTGTTCCGGAGTCGTTGTTGCGGAGTCCTTGTTGCGGAGTCCTTGTTCCGGAGTCCTTGTTCCGGAGTCCTTGTTCCGGAGTCCTTGTTCCGGAGTCCTTGTTCCGGAGTTGTTGTTCCCGGAGTCGTTGTTGCGGAGTCGTTGTTGCGGAGTCGTTGTTGCGGAGTCGTTGTTCCGGAGTCCTTTTTCCGGAGTCCTTGTTCCGGAGTCCTTGTTCCGGAGTCGTTGTTCCAGAGTCGTTGTTCCGGAGTCGTTGTTCCAGAGTCCTTCTCTCATGATGGGTATGGAGCTCCTCACCTTCCAGTAGGACCCGTCGGTTCCCCCACCTAGCACATTCTATAGTCTGTAACAAGCTCCTGACACTGGATCCTAATTACAGTTTCATAGTTCAGGGCTGACAGGCCGGAGAGGGATTTGTGGTGTAAAGCCGCCTCATTAACACATTGTTACTGTGAAATCTGTCCTCCCCGGAGCTGTGCTGACAGGTAATGGTGAAGTAAGCAGTAAATTAACATCGCAGAGCCATTAATCTGAAGATTGTTGGATAGGCGGCATTCCGGAGGATTCTAAAGCATCATTAATATCAGATTTTTTCAGTAAATAAATAGACTCGGGCGACGTTCATTCTTGTCTTCTTCTGGAATTCTTCAACTTTGTCATCCAAAGTTTGAGAAAAACATTTTTTACTCCAAATGACGTTGATGGTTCCCGCATCCAACAGCTCACATTCAGCCAAGTGTACGCCCTCGTACTCCCCTCTCTTTACTCCGAGGATGTGGAGCTCTGAGCGCTAGTGATGGGCCGAACAACCCCCACCCCCGTTTGGTTCACGGTCGAACATTCAAAACGAACGAAAGTTTGACCGCAAACCTCAAACCCCAAACCCAGGGGACAATTCACTAAGCGGTATCTTCCTGCATCCCAGTATGCAGCATTTTTCCAAAAAAAGTTGGCATTCACTAAAAAAAAAACGCAACTACAATCCGGCGGGAGTTCTATGATGACATCACGCCGTATGTTAGTAGTGAGACATTCATTCATTCATGTTCCCGCTGTCAGTGGGGTTCCCGGGTGACAGCTGAATGGAAAAAAATTGCCAGCAATTAAAAATTTTGCAAAAAAAAAAAAAAATGGCTTGGGGTCCCCCCCACCATCCATACCAAGCCCCTTTGGGTCTGGTATGGATTTTGAGGGGAACCTCCATGCAAATTTTATTTATTTTTTTTTAAATGGCGTTGGGGTCCCCCCCCAGAATCCATACCAGACATCTTATCTGAGCATGCAGCCTGGCAGGTCAGGAAAGGGAGGGGGGCGAGCGAGCACCCACCCCTCCCTCCGGAACCATACCAGGCCACATGCCCTCAACATGGGGGGTACTTTGTGGCAGTGGCACTCCCCCCCCCCCCCACAGCACCTTGTCATGCTAATGATGACAAGGGCCATATATATATATATATATATATATATATATATATAGAGATACATATATATATATAGAGATACATATATATATATATATAGAGATACATACATATATATATATATATACACACACATACACACTTTTTTTTTTAAATATATATATATTTTTATTTATATATATATTCCTCAGATTTTTTTTTAACATATAAAAAAGTAATGTTAACATATATTTGTAAATGCGTTCCAAAAATGTAGATTAAATGTATTTTTAAAAATATTTTTCATATATTTTGTAATAAAAACACATTTCAACATGCAGTCTATATATATATTTATTGAAATATATTGAATGCGGCCAAAATTGTAGTATTTTAAATATATGTCAATATATTTGGGAAGAATATTTTTTAAAATACATTTTTCTTCCATGTGGGTAGGAGGAGCTCCATCGCAGAGGATTTTTGAGCTCAGGAGCCAGTCTGACCACGTGGGAACTTGGCTGATGGGAAGCCGGTGACATGGAAGGGGAGTGGCTACACATTTCGAGGCGGTCAGACTGACTCCTGAGCTGATCTCTACCATCTGCTGTGGAGCTTGTGCATCTCCTAATACTGGTGGTGTCACTACCGCTTGCTGCAGACGGGCCGGGTTCCTACGGATGATGACTTAGAAGCTTGATTTGCCCCTTTTACTTCTACTTGGTGGGCGTGGCTAATTTGCATTTTTTCCTAATAAATGATCTCATCTGCTGCACTTAGAAGCGCCCTCGTGTGTCTCTCATGTATTGCTACAAACATTCCTCCTAACTGCTGAGGAGCTGCACTAAGTCCTCTGAAGGCAGCTGCTGATCCTTATGAACTCTTCAGCTCGGACTCCACCACTCCGGAGACCACTGGCTGATTCTTATTGCTATACTTGATATTTATCTACTGCATATGATTTAATCGCACCAGCAGGTAGGTGACCTCTTAGGAAGATGCCACCAATAATGGCTATATATGTGTATTGCTGGATAATGTCCATTTACCATGGGTTGTATATTCATGATATACACTCAC